AAACAGTGCTTGGCCTACAGTATTATAGAGTGAAGGTGTAACAAAGAAGACAGGCATTTGAAGAACCAAAATGTACACACTAAAAAGTACATGAAACAACTAGACTGAGAGGCTAGAGAGAGACTTGGTCCTAGCAGCCCCACCAGGCCAGCCTGGCCTACATGGTGAACTCCAGACTGGCATGGGCTATGTAGTCAAACTCTGTCCCAGTCAATCAGTCTAAAAATAAACTCTTCAGGAGACTAGACTGATTACATGTCCCCTGTATTACAGTCACATACACTCCATGGCTCCTCCAATAATAACCAGTCACATAGACGTATAAGCTGAAATAACCCTTTCCTCCCCATGTTGCTTTTGGTTATGGTGTTTATCTCAGCAATAGAAACCCAACTAAGACACATAGTTAAGGGCTTGGGGTTTTGTTTTGGTTTTTTAACTTTGCAAAGGTTTTTTTGTTTTTGTTTTTTTTTTTAATTTTTGAGACAGGGTTTCTCTGTATGTGTCTCTGGCTGTCCTGGAACTCATTCTGTAGACCAGGCTGGCCTCGAACTCAGAAATCCACCTGCCTCTGCCTCCCAGGTGCTGGGGTTAAAGGCGTGCGCCACCACTGCCCAGCTTTGCAAATGTTTTGTATGTTGGGATTAGTTTTCTAATTGTGTCTTTTCTGACAGCATCTCAGAGGCAGGGAGTTCCTGAGCTCTCTGCAGCCTTCTCCACTCCTCTTTTACCCTGAGAGTGGCTAACAAGAGATCATCTTGCTTGTACTGGAGTATTTAAACAGCCTGCTAGGTTTTAATTTTAGTTATTCTTCTGTTCAGCTTGTTCTTACAGTTATAACTGATTGTTGAGTGGCTAGCTTTCTTAGAAAAAAATTAGTCTTGAATTTTTAAATTAATTCTTATCCATGGATTCTGGGTTGATCTGTTGTTTTATATTGGTATTATACCAGATTTAATTTGAAGAAGTAGAAAACTACATGGTAGAAGAAATTAGAGAAGAATATAGTATTCTTGTCTTTTATTAATATGCCAATATTAATAACAGTGATAGAAACAAGCTCAGACCTATTAGAAGTCAGAACTTTATAGTCCTTATAGACATAACCAAAACTTATTTCTTACTTAAATTATATAGAATCGGAAATGAGGCTCTAGAAGAAAGTTCTTTGTGCCTGGTTCTTTGAATTCCTGAGAATTTCAAACCTGTAAGAGCAACTAGGAAGGGCTCTAAACTGCCCAGCCATCTCTCTAGCTGTGTCTTTTAAATTTAAAAGATTTAAAATCTTTTAAATTTCAATTAAAAAATACTTTTAAAACTCATGATTAGCCAGGTGGTGGTGGCACAACTTTAATCTCAGCCCTCAGGAAGCAGAAACAGGTGGATCTCTGCATTCAAGGCCAGCCTGGTTTGCAGAATGCCAGGATAGCCAGGGCTACATAGAGAAACTCTATCTCAAAAAATAAACACTATCAAACAAGCAAACAAAACCTTATGTGAATTTCCCTCATGGTAATTCTCCCAAAGAACGATCCAGGGCCCATTAATCCCCTCGACTTATTTACCCAAGTTTTCATACTGATTATCCTCTCGTTGTCCTTGGCATACTGGTCATGTGACCAAGCTTCCTAAGCCTATTGGGCAATTGGGGTTAGAACCTTTTCCCTTAAAACTATACTTTTGGGCTGGAGAGATGGCTCAGAGTTAAGAGCACTGACTGCTCTTCCAGAGGTCCTGAGTTCAATTCCCAGCAACCACATGGTGGCTCACAACCATCTGTAATAGGATCCGATGCCCTCTTCTGGTGTGCCTTCAGACAGCGACAATGTACCCACATACATAAAATAAATAAATATTAAAAAAAAAAAAAAAAAAAAAAACTGTACTTTTACTATAAGCCAAAGGAGGCTGGGCCAATTTAACAACTTTGTTTACATGGGCACTTATAGTCAATTTACTATTGAGTAAATGATAGAAAAAGCATAACATATGCATATATATATTCCATATATGAATAATCATACATAAGGATAGATTTTTTTAAAGACCAAGATCTTGGATGCTATGATCTGTTGGGATTATATCTCCTGCAATCATCAGCATAAAAAGAATCTTAACGATCCCCACGAAACATACATCTATCCATTATTCAACATGTAGTCCAGCTTTAATCAGAGCCTCACATCAGTTTTATATGAGGAGCCTCAGCCATCACCGGGATTAAAGAAAGGATAGTGTCTTTAGCTGGGTTAGGGTGGGTGGCTCTGTTTCTGATCCTTACAGTCACCTGGGCACATTCTTCCAAGTGAAGCCTTTGCTGTAAACACTGACATCTGTCACCGTGTGTTGCCATCTCTCTCCTGCCATTCTCCCAGGAAGAACATTCATGCTGTGTCTTGACCTTGATCCTCCTCTGCCCTTCGCAGTGGAATAAAGACTGGCCTGTAAATAAAGACTGAGTTGGTAGTCATTTTTTTTCCTTCTTCTGTGAGTACACTGTCACTGTCTTTCAGACACACCAGAAGAGGGCATCAGATCCCATTGCAGATGGTTGTGAGCCACCATGTGGTTGCTGGGAATTGAACTCGGGACCTCTGGAAGAGCAGTCAATGCTCTTGACCACTGAGCTGTCTCTCCAGCCCGGATTATAGTCATTTTCAAGGCTCAATTTCCTTTTCTTCTAATTGTATCTTTGAAATTTTAATTAAAAAGGGATAGATCTTTGTCCACGCATATTCCTGGGGAGCCTCACTGTTTTCTACCTGTATAGACATCAGGGTAAGGACACCCGGCTCCTTAAGCATTTGTGCTACTCTCCACCCTTTTGAAATTTATGGTGCATCATTGTTACCTGTGCTCACAGCCTGTGGACAGGACTCGGCTTGTTTTCTTCAGGACTTGTTAGGATGACGCCCAGCCCTGGGCATTCTGGTTCTTTCCCCAGTTTATGCTGCTTTTTCCTGTTTCGTCTCCTAGGTTTTAAGAATATCCCCTCTTTTATGCCTGCTGTCAGATACTGTGCCCACCCAGCAGCTCAGTCACTATGACTTTCAAATCTTTGCCACAACACTGAATTTTAAAAGGCTGTATCAATGCTTTACTTGGCATTTGATTATTTATTGATGAGAAAAAAAATTGCTTCTTTCATGATTATTAGTCATTTATGTTTTTATAGACTTTGTGTGATTGTTCAGGGGATTGATCAATGCAGGGTTTTGAAATTGATGGGAAAGCACTCTACCATGAACCACACCCCAAGCCTCATTCAGTCATCATTTTGGTCTTTGGTGTTTGGTTTGTTTTGAGACAGGACTTCTCTGGGTAGTTTTGGCTGTCTTAGAGCTCACTATGTAGAACAGGATGGCACAGAGAACTGCTAGCCTCAGCCTCCAACTCTGGGATTAAGGCCTGCACCGATACGCCCAGGTGCCAGCATATTATGCCCCAAGTTTTGTGTGGGTCTGGGACAAAACTTTCATTTGCACTGGCATTTTTGGTGCTGTAGAAAAGAACCTGTCTGTTACAAGATATTTGATTATTGTACATAGAAAACCTAATTGTTAGCAAAACATCAAAGCCTAGGTAGATGCAGTTAGGTGTGTTCTGTAGAGAAGCAGCTTGGGTGTCCCTCTAAAAGCCTCCATAGGTAAGAATGCTAAAGAATGGAAAGTTCCTGCCTATTTTAAGGCAAACTGCTTGGGGGAGGGGTCTTGCAGTCTTTTCTCTATGACCAGAGGCTAAGTCAGCTGGGTAGCCTTGAGTTATACTTGGTAACGTGAAGTGGTTTGGCTCCTACTGACTTGTCTGGAAGTCTCCCCATCATGATGGTGACATGGTTCAGCTTGTCAAGGGTGTGGGGAGGAGCTAGAGGCTAGAGACTTGTTTTTATAACAGTTGGACCAAAGATAGAGCTCTCTCCCCACCCTGCCCTTTTTTTTGGGGGGGGGTAGAGGGGGCGGCTAGGAGGAGCCTTTATGGAAGGATCATCTTTGTGTCTGCAGTAACAATGGAGCGCTGGCAGGACACAGGTAACCGGAAATCTAGGAAAGAGTGCTAAGGAGCTCTGTTGGGTTTGGAGGCGCTCATGAGAAAGGTAGATTAGCTCTGTAGAATGACACAGAAGTTTCTAAAGAGCTGGCAGTTTAGTTGTAGGATCAGGCTTGTAAATATGTGGTATATAGTTTAGAAAATGAAGCTACCTCACCGAGCTAGCAGGTTTTTTACCCCAGTTTATTATGCCTCATGTGTCTTTATTGGTATACATATTGAATAATTTGAATGGTTACATGTGTCCTTGGAATTTGACGTTATCCTCCGGAGCTGCGTCTTGGTTTTCCACCTTGTAGAAAACCTGTTCATTTAAAGGATAAGGCTCTTGATTCCACTGTATGTGTTCTCGTGAGGACTAAATTAGAAATTACTGGGACTGTCCTTAGATACGGTGTATCTGGGACCACATGCAATGGGGGCAGGGGGAAGAGAGGGGTTTTTCATTGACTCGGAAACGCACTTTCCCCAAATTTGCTCTCCTAAAGGCCAAGACCTTCTCAAGAGGGAGTGGACATGCTCCTCCAGCCCACTCACCCCACATTTACCTCCTCTGAAGTTTGGATAGGGAACCATCTTTTTCATCCTCTGTAACCATGGTCTCCACAGGAGGTTGGAAATCGGAATAGTCTGGACAGCTGTTACTGGCTTAAAACCAGTTAAAAGTTCTTGCCTACGAGGGGAAGCGCAGTAGTGCCTTTCCGTATGTTGGGTCAATCAATGGTGTTCGTCTTAGAGATCGCCGGGCCCGCTGGGTCCTGAGAAGCAAGCAAAGTGGTGTGAAGGGTTGGGCTGTATTTTTGTTTTTGTTGTTCCTGAGAAATTCAAGGAATAACAACAAAAATGCAACAATCCAAACTCATCTCGTCACGTTAGTGTCGCAGGAGCACTTCCCAGAGGCTGGGCGACCTGGGCTGTGCGCAGGCGCGGGGCGGTGAGGGGCAGAGGGCGTGGTCGCCGAGTCCATTTTACACCGGCGCAGCCGGGCCGCAGTCGGCGGAGGTGAGCGCCGTGCTCCGGTAGGGGCTGGGGGCCGGGAGCCGCTGGCCCCGCGGCCCCGGGACACCTGCGTGGGCGGTGACGGGCGGCACGGCGTGGCGGCTGTGGTCCTAGTGTCGCCGCCAGGAAGGTCCGCGCGCCGCTGGGGAGACGCCCTGGCCAGGAGAGGGCCAAGACTGCAGATTTGTGTGTGTAACACTTTTTCTCCTTTCTCTACAGCGGTCTCCAGTTTTACAGTCAAAACCTAGGGAAAAAACCCCCGGCCTTCTCCAGAAACATAGTAAGCGTGCCAAAAGCATATACTTGCTGGGAACAAAGGTAAACGGTAGTATTTTCCTTTATGTTCTGGTATTTATGAAGGGGGAAAAATACCCGATTTTATTAGTCCTAGGACCATTCCAGATGGAACTGCAAAGAATAAATGTCTTCACCCACCTCCTTCAGTTAATAGGTGGCCTTTGTTCTTTTCAAATTTCAAAACTGAGAATCCATGCTTGCCATTCATTTCTTTGGTAATTTACTATATGTAATTTAATAAAATTATGCTCTAAAAGGAAGCAGAGGGATCCAGCATCATTTCTTTGTGGTTTGTCTTAGTTGTCCAGCTACTGGAGCTGTGTAGAGCAGGGCTTGAGTTTTCTGTAGCTCTCGACATTTGCTTGAGGAGCACTTTTAAAACAATGTCAATATATAGGCATTCTTTGTGCTAGGACTCATTGGGGTTATTAATTAATTTTGCTTTTTTCTTTAAAAATCGTTTGGTGATGGGAAAGAACCCAGGACACCTTGGTATGCTAGCACATTATACTCTGGAACTATACTTCTGTCCTACTTAATGCTAAGCATCAGTTTCACACAGCCTAGAATCACCTGAAAACAATCTGAAGTGAATAATTGTTTTTCAGGTTGGTCTGTGGCTATGTCTTAATTTACAGGAAGGCACATTGTGGTCCGCTCTGTTCCTAGGCTGATGAACCTGGGCTGAGCATGAGCCTGTTAGGAGCCATAGGCAGCCAGCAGTGTACATTCTTGGTGGTGTCTGCTGTACTTTCTGGTTATGAGTGGGTTCCATGGTGGAAGGCACTGCTGTGGGGAATAATAAGCAGTTTTGTCTCGAGTTCCTGCCCTGATTTACCTCAGGAATGGGCTGTAACCTGCAAGTGTCAGTTGATTTTGGTGACAGAAAGTGACAGGTCCAGGCTCAGAAGACCCAGGCTTCCTTTTGCCTGGTACTAACACCCAACTGTTCTTTTCATCGGTGGACTTATTGGTAGTTCTGGAGACTGCTCACACTAGGTGAGCGCTTCCCAGTGAGCTGCCACCTCACTCTGCGCTTTCGTAAGTGGAAGAGTATCTGACTCGCCTCAGTTGATGCTTCTGTGTTTCTGGTACCCTGGTTGTATGTATTTTCAAGTAGTAGGAAGATAGTAATGGAAAGATCCTCATTTTATAAAAGATATTTGTGAAGACCATAGTCTTTTTAGAAGTCTATGGAGTTGAACTGTTTTGTGAATAAAGGTATTGAATTATTCCCCACCACTTTGGCCCTGGGAATCTAACCCAGTGCCTTCAGCATGCTAAGTACACCTTTGCTCCTAGCACATGAAATTCTTTTTTTTTTCCCCTTTTTGTGACAGCCCTAGTTAGACCAGGCTGGCCCTGAACTAACATCTGCCTTCCTCTGCATTCAGAGTTGTGGGTTTGGATTAAGGTGTCTGCCACTATGCTTGGATTAGAATACTAAATTTTTGACTTACTTTCTGGATAGTTTTGAATCCTAGAACTTTGAAAACTCAAGGTCTGTGCTTTGGTAGAAGGGCAAGGTGAGTTGGGCTCCATGTTTTTACTTAGAAAGTTAGGGGGTTGGTTAGCTACATTGGTTTTAGGCCCAGAACATTTTATTCCTAACCCTTTTTGTTCTCAAGATACATAGATACATAGATGCATACTACTGGTAACTGATTTAAGTTGTTTTACATTTTAAGTCTGGGTGAATACAGTAGTAATGTGACCTGTTCACTGTTTGCTAAGGTGAGGAACCACATGGAGAAGTTGAGTGTTTTAGATTTCAGGATATGTTTGCACAAACTTATGTCTGTGTACATGTGTGAATAGTATACACACACATACACCATTTTTACTTTTTTTTTTTTTTAAGACAGGCTAGCAATGTTAGACCAAGTTCAGATACCAGTTTTCCTCCCAAGTGCTGGGATTAAAGACATGTGCCACCATGTGCAGCTATACACACGCTGTTTGGAAGAACACTTGACCATCTTTTCCAGAGTCTTAAAATGGCTCAGGAGGTAAAAATGCTTGCTACCACTGTGGACAGGACCAACATGGTTGAAGGAGAGAAAAGAACCAACTCCCGTAAATTGCTCTTATCTTGGTGCGCGTGCTCGCACACACACACCCATGAATGGCTATTTAAAGATGGGTTTTATTTCTTGATCCAGTATGGCCTCTAAGGGAATGATCTAAGGAAATGATCAGAGATTAGGAAGTTTTAATTAAAGCTTTTCTATAAAGCTTTTACTTACACAGTACCATTCTAAAAAACGAAAGTATAGATAAACAGTAAGAAAGCACAGCCCTCAGACGGGATATCATGTGTTTGAAGAATAGGTACTGATATGGAAAGTGGTTATTTGTAGGTAAAGAAGGCAGTAAAATTCCATGATACTTCAATATTAACTAACAGGAAACAAAGGTTATACAGGCGGTCAGGATGAAGAGGGGAGAGAGAGGGTACTGAGGCAAAGAAAGACTTTGGGGGATGGAGAATACAATAAGAGGATGACTTTTAAGGTAATCAAATAAGATGAGAAGTGAAAAGGAAACAGGAAAACTTACAATGGCCATTCAAAGTCATACTCACACTGTAAAGGCTACTCATGCGTTCATAGGTTTTGTTTTGTTTTTTAAAGACCAAGTTTCAATATGTAGCTCAGACTATCCTAAAACTCCTGCTCCTCTTGCCTTAGCTTCCCAAGTGCTGGGATGCAGGCTTACACCACCATGTCCAGCTACGAATTCAGTCTTAAGTAGAAATTAATCTTCCCCTTAAACATCTGTGAGCCTGTGAGGTGGTTCAGGGTGGAAGCACTTGCCACCAAGTGTGGCAGCCTTGTGGTGGAAGGACTGACCCCACTAAGTTATGATCCCTCTGTCTGTGTGTGTGTGTCTGTCTGTCTATGAAAAATAGTAGATGTAAAAAGAAATACAGCAAAGCCGTCTATTGGGAATAAAGAAAGCTATTACTATTATTTAATTTATTTGTTTGTTTTGAGACAGGGTTTCTCTGTATAGCCCTGGCTGTCCTGGAACTCACTCTGTAGACCAGGCTGGCTTCGAACTCAAATCCGCCTGCCTCTGCCTCCCAAGTGCTGGGATTAAAGGCGTGTGCCACCACAGCCCGGCAAAAGCTATTATACTTTGTGTTTTGGGGATTGTTTTTCAGTCCTAGAACACTGAACTGAGGGCTTTGAACATGCTAAGCAGGTGCTTTCTCACTGTCCAGAGTCTAGGGCCTCCTGCATCTTGGGAATTTTCATCTTAAGGCATTTTTGTTTGGGATTTAGGAAATTCAAAACAGTGTTTAAATATATCAGTCAGGAGAGGATCCTGCAAAATAAGTAAGTACTTGGCTTGTAAGAATAAAAGACTGAGTTAAATCCCTAGAACCCACCAATAAATCAAAATAAAAGGCCATATGTGGTGCTGGGTAGTTGTAATCCTAGGACTGGAGAGGCAGAGAGACAGGTGGCTGGCCAGCCAATTCAGTCTACTTTGTAAGCTCTAGGCCAGTGTGAGATTCTGTCCCACAGATCACCAAAAGCCCCCCAAACAAACAAATAAAACCCCAAACTGAGACAGTAAATACTAAAACTTCTGAGAACCACCAGTCTTACCTTGGAATAATGCTTACAATGAAAGCTTAATTCTTGAGATTTTTTTTTAATTATGTCTCTGTGTGGGTAAGTAGTCCAGGTGCCCATGGACACCAGGAGGGACAGCTCCTCCTGGAGCTGGAGTTGTGAGCTGATATGATCCTCTGCAAGAGTGTGGACCTCTCCTACCCCAAGTGAACTTTGAAAACAAAGGCCATGGGCCTGACACAGTGACACTCTGCTTAATCCCAGTAAGAGGATCTCTGAGTTCGAGGCCATTCTGGTCTACACAGTGAATTCCAAGAACAGCTTGGAACCACATAGAGACCTTTAAAAAAATAATAAAACCCCCCAAATATAAATATATAAATATAAAGAACTATATAAATATTAATTCACTAGCCAATCTTATTTTCAAGTAACATACTATATACTATTTAGTATGAGATTCCCCTAACACAGGCTAGCTATTGAATCTCCCTGGACATGCAGATGCATACCTGCTAGCCTACCATTCAGTAGCTGAAGGATTTCTGTGACTACTGCACTGAATAGCAAGATCCTGGTCCCCTCAACCCCAAGTGCAAAAAGTCAAGCTGGATAGCTGTGGCGCACGCCTTTAATCCCAGCACGTAGGAGCCAGAGGCAAGTGGATTTCTGAGTTCGAGGCCAGCCTGGTCTACACAGTGAGTTCCAGGACAGCCAGGACTATACAGAGAAACCCTGTTTCGAAAAACAAAACAAAACAAACAAACAAAAAGGAAAACAAATAGCAAGCATACTGAGTCAGCAAGAGATCCCACTGCAAAAAATAAAAGGTGGAGGAGGACTGAGGAAAGATCCAGTGTTGACCTTGGCCTTCTGCAGGCATGTGTATGTGTACCTGCATACACATACCTACAGAGAATTACTGTGACTGGGCATGTGTAGAGCTCAGAGGTATACCCTGCTCAGCATGTGCACTGCTGGACTTAATCCCTAACTCTAACCCCCAGAGTATTGTCTGGCCAATAGAGTACCGAGTATTCCATCCTATTTTGTTATTTTGGTAATGTTTATTCCCCAAGTAAACTGAATAAAGAAATACTGATTACTGATTTTGGTTCTATGTCTTAGGGGTTAAAGTAGATTAGCAAATTTCAATTAATAGATATAGTATAATGTAGTATATATTATTTACATGTACTATATTAGAAATGAAATCTGAGGTCTTTAAAACATGTTAACTCATTTAAAGCAACACTGATAAAAAATCATTGTATGTTACCAAAAAATAATTTAGTAAGAATACCTCTCCTCCTTTGTGATAAAGGTGGTATTCTTTATAGATTGACAGCTTTCTGTCTTTGGGGGAGACACAGGGATGCTGCACTGGTGACTAGCCTCGGGCCTTGTACATGTCCAGTGTGCTTTCTAACAGCCTTTGAACTATACCCAGCCCTGGGTATTTGATTGAAAATAACTGTTCTAGTTATTTTGATTGACATACACAAGAAAAATCTGTGTTACACAGATTTGTGGTTGATAAAGGGAGTAGTATGTTAGTAACTTTTTGAGATAATTTGTTCTTCTTCAATACTATAACCAAATCTCAACAAATAGTATTTTTGTCATACTGTCATGTTTGAGATCATACTTATTGTAAGCCCGTTTGTCTCTGTTACCTTTTTAGTTTTTATTTCTGCAGTATTAGGAATTGAACTCAGGGCCTTGGCAAGTCCTCTACCACTGAGCCATACTCCAACCCTTTTTTATATTTTAAACAAGTCTTCTCTCCATGCATGGTTTATAATATTGTTATGGAGACCTCCAAACATTGACATATTTCATCTTATAATAGTCCCCAGTAGCTCTTACATTTGTTAACTTTACTATTTATCAGAATTTGTAATGGGAAGATTACAAGTACATCTTGCAAAAAATTCAAATTTTAACATAAAAACCCAGCCTTTTCCCCGTTTCATTGTCAAGAAGTACTATGTTTCTTGAAGTAGCATGCTCATTTTACACATTTTCAAAATTTCTCAGCTCCCTAAATCTGCACACTACTGGCTCCCATTGTTTCCCTAATAACAGCCGCTGTCTCAGCGTGTAGCTGAGTCACGTGAGCCTGCAGTCCTTTCCCACCGCACCCACTGGCCACACAAGTGCTTTTGTGTCTAGTTCAGTATATAAGAATCTGGGATTTGATAAAATTAGTAATTTTTGCAGCTTCATCATGTTTTTATTATTTGTTTCTGAAATAGGGTCTCATGGTCCAGGCTGGATTAGAACTTGCTTTGAAGCCTTATTGGCCTTGAGGTGATATCTATACTTCTTCTTTCTGTGTTTTTCTGAGTATTGGGATTATTTGCGTGTGTGTGCTTAGCCTGGCTAAGGACACTTCTTGTTGAAAGGCTCCTCTCCCTTCTAGAACACTGAGTAGTGGCCCAGCTCAGTGCTCGATTCCAGCAGCATCTGCCTACCTCCTGTAGCTTTGACATGGTTGGTACACACGTCAGTCAGTGGAGCACATCATTATGAGAATGCTTTTGGCTCCACTGGTTCTCTGGAAGAGGGACAGGTAGGTTTCTGCCCCCTCAGAGAGAATTAATGCTGTAGTGTGCAGGATTTTTGGATGAGTATGATAAAAACAACCGATACAAAATAAAAATTCTTCCAGACAACAACAGCGAAAAATCCTTATTTAATTCTCTAGTCAAGGTTGTGCTTCTTACACTATGAATCATAGTGTTCCAGGAAAGTCCTTCCCATTCTCTAAGCTGCCCACAAGGCCTTTAATGAAGACCTTTGATACCAGTCAGTGGGAGGACATTAAACTAGTTGATGTGGATAAATTGTAATCTTGTCTTTGAAATAGAAAATATTCCAGTTTCCAGTAAAAGCTAGAGTGCATGCTTGGATTTATGTGTGCTTCTGTCTTTAAGTAGCACAGCATTTCATATTTGTGGGCCCAAAGTAAAGAGCCCATTCTGTGACAGACAGTGAGGCTCTTTGTTTCTGACTTCTGGTAGTCAGCTCTGTTTTAAAACAATGTTGGGTTGTTGGCTCAGTTTGCAGTTGTCCCAGTCCTAACCCTGTTTCAGCAAAGGCTGTTGTTGGGAAGCTCTCACAAAGGCCTTGTGTGCAGGAGTGTTCTTGTCCCAGTGAGTTAAATATATGCCTTAGTATACATGCCTTTCCCAAGTGTCTTCGGTTATTTCAGTAGGAGATCATTTTATTGGGAAGATGATGTCTTCTAATTATTACAGAGGTGCTTACCAGGACTAAATGTTTCTCTCTGTGTAGCAGGATGTGATGGAGCTGCTTGAAGAAGATCTCACGTGCCCAATCTGTTGCAGTTTGTTTGATGATCCCCGAGTGTTGCCTTGCTCACACAACTTCTGCAAGAAATGCTTAGAAGGGCTCTTAGAGGGGAACGTGCGGAATTCGCTGTGGAGACCAGCTCCATTCAAGTGTCCTACCTGCCGGAAGGAAACCTCAGCTACTGGAGTAAATAGTCTGCAGGTTAATTACTCCCTAAAGGGTATTGTGGAGAAATACAACAAAATCAAGATTTCTCCCAAAATGCCAGTGTGCAAAGGACATTTGGGGCAGCCTCTCAACATCTTCTGTGTAACTGATATGCAGCTGATTTGTGGGATCTGTGCTACTCGTGGTGATCACACCAAGCATGTCTTCTCTTCTATTGAAGATGCCTACACTCGGGAAAGGGATGCCTTTGAGTCCCTCTTTAAGAGTTTTGAGACTTGGCGTCGGGGAGATGCTCTCTCCCGCTTAGACACTTTGGAAACAAACAAGAGGAAATCCCTCCAGTTACTCACTAAAGATTCAGATAAAGTAAAGGAGTTTTTTGAGAAGTTACAACACACATTGGATCAAAAGAAGAATGAAATCCTGTCTGACTTTGAAACTATGAAGCTTGCAGTTATGCAAACCTATGACCCGGAGATCAACAAAATCAACACTATTTTGCAGGAACAGCGGATGGCCTTCAACATTGCTGAGGCTTTCAAAGATGTCTCAGAACCTATTATATTTTTGCAACAGATGCAGGAGTTCAGGGAGAAAATCAAAGTAATCAAGGAAACTCCTTTGCCACCTTCTAATCTGCCCACAAGCCCTTTAATGAAGACCTTTGATACCAGTCAGTGGGAGGACATTAAACTAGTTGATGTGGATAAACTGTCTTTGCCTCAAGACACAGGCGTGTTCACTAGCAAGATTGCCTGGTACCCCTATCTGCTGCTCATGGTGGTAGTTCTGTTGGGTCTCCTCATATTCTTTGGCCCCACTGTATTTCTGGAGTGGTCTCCACTTGATGAATTGGCAACTTGGAAAGACTGTCTTTCAAGCTTCAATTCTTACGTGACTAAATCAGCTGATTTTGTAGAACAATCTGTTTTTTACTGGGAACAGATGACAGATGGGCTTTTCATTTTTAGTGAAAGAGTTAAAAATGTTAGTTTGGTAGTACTGAACAATGTGGCAGAATTTGTATGCAAATATAAACTTTTATAAACGTCTTTCAGTTACACAGTTTCTTGATGGGATTGTTAGAGAACACAGGAATAATTCAGATCTGATCAAGATTCCAGTCTGTTTCTTTTTGAAGTAATTTCTTTAATAATGTCATTTGAAGTTTAGTAGTCCTAAACCTTCCCTTCCTTCTTAAAGATGGTTTTGAAATAAATATTGTTTCTCTAAATTGGCTGAGTTTGTGCTGTGCTAAGCGGGTGTATCTGTATCTCATTGGTGATCTCCCAAGTCTGGAACTTTGAAACCAGCTAGGATGAGAAATAAGAGAGTGAGGTGAGAGCACACATGAGCTAACACCACCCTGTAATGAGCTAGAGATGCAATGTAATGTCCACGAGTTAGAGCACATGTGGGCTTACACTGCATCCATGATGCAAGTAAGGTAGTACTGAGTCATCAAGCAGCTTCTCTGACTGAACATTCTAAAAGAAGTCAAGACTATAAAACATAGAATTCCCATGTTTGTTTTAGAGGAGTGATTCCTTCCTCATGACAGGATCTTCTAATTTAGGAAACCGTATCTCTCCCGTTCCTATTTTTGACAAGCCTGATCTAGTAGTTCTTCCCCAAGCCTCGTAAGTACTGGAATCACAGTGAGCTTTGTTCTTGTGAATTTTTCACTAAAGGTCATATAAGCTGTGCATGTGGGAAGGGCAGGAGTTAGGAAAGCCATCTTTTAACTGGTACCTAATGTGGTTGTGTTCCAAAGTACCACATTAACTATAACCAACCCAGTTCACTTGCCTGCAGAATTTCAGGTGTAGTAAGGCTATCCTCTCTGCTCGTGAAGAGAGAATGATGCTCACAGGACAGAAGCACTTACTCTTCTCTCCTTGATTAGAAGTCGTATGAAAACAAAATGACCCATCCTTAAAACTGCTTTTAGTCAGCCTTTGTTTTGTCATGAAAGAACAGGTTCTTGAAAGCCCACTGAGTGAGATGGGTTTCAGATAGCCGAATCTTGACATCTTCATTTTGGTTGAGAAGAGGTAACATGATCAGGGATGAGAAAAGCTGGCCCAGAAAAGCTGCTGTACCCAACCAGCCCTGAGATGGTCAGGTGAGCTGAAGGTGAGGTAAAGACTTCTCATTCTTATGATCTAGCTATTAAATTACTAAGGGGGTTCTAAAACCAGATAGTGTTTTCTATAAATTTTATCTTGGCCACAAGGGCTTGGTAAATGTCTGCAGGGAGAGTGGTTTTCTGCTCCTGATGACTTTGAAATACGGATTTACGTTATGGTTTCAATGGAGACTAATGTCTTCAGTGCTGGAGACAGAGCAGGGGACGGGAAAGGGGTCTATTTGAAATCATGAGATACACTGACATTCTATTTCACTGCTGTTTTCCATTTTACATATGCAAGTTCCCAAGCAACTCACACTTGCAAACACAGCTATGGATACACTATTTGTCTTGACAATAGTTACCTTGGAATTTAGGTCTAGTTTTCTATCTCCACTTCCCTGTTTCTTAATCATATCTAACATGTATGGTAGCAGGTTGAGTTCGAAGGGTTTCGTAAGTCTGTGTTAATGGTCTATAGCCACTCGTGAGAAGCTAGGAAGGATGAGTGGTCAGGACCTGGTCACTTTGAATGTGGGAGGGAAGATATTCACAACAAGGCTCTCCACCCTCAAGCAGTTCCCTGCCTCTCGGTTGGCAGGCATGTTAGATGGCAGAGACCAAGAGTTCAAGATAGTTGATGGCCAAATTTTTGTGGATAGAGATGGTGTTTTATTTAGTTTCATTTTAGATTTTTTGAGAAATCATGAGCTTCTGTTACCCTCGGACTTTTCAGACCACCACAGGCTTCAGAGAGAGGCTCTTTTCTATGAACTCGATTCTCTTGTTGATCTCTTAAGCCAATACCTGCTCCAATCAAGACCTGCTGTCATGGAGGTGCAGTTCTTAACCCGAAATACTCAAGCCTTCTTCAGAGTGTTTGGCTCTTGCAGCAAAACAATCGAGATGCTAAGCAGGAGGATTACGATGTTTGTAGAACGGCCTATGGCACTGGCCAGGAACAGTGACTCCTCGCTGGCTTTACCTCCACAAAGACCTTCTCACCATGACCTGCTTTTCCACTGTGGCTCTGCTGGCACGGCTGAGAACCACGCTGGAGTCAGGTATTTTGAATGCTGGAGCACCTATTCCAGTTTTCTGACATTTTCTCTCGAACATTCTTTATGCCCAATTAAAACTCCTCTTGGCAAAAGAAAACAAGATTAGCATACTGTTCAATAGAACAAGCAGTTAATTTCTAAACTTGAACACTTTCAGACTAAGAAGGTATTGTTGAACAGGAAAGAAACCAGCACTGCCCAGGGAAACGAGAAACTGATCTGTGTGGTTACAAGACAAACGGATTGTGTGGATTATATTCCATTGCTAAGGAATGACTTAGACTGAATCAGCATATGCTTGGTTTCCACATGGGAGAGGCTCAGGGGTATGACCTGGTTCCTCACACACTATGTATTTATTCTTTCAGAACTTAAGTTTGCTGCTTTTCTGCAGTGGAGAATATTTTTAAAGATGATTTCAGGTAGATAAGTCTCATGGCAAATTTAGTGTTCTGTTATAACTTTGGCTCTATCACTATTAAAAATACTGGAATAGGCTGTCAGTATCTTATGGGCTGTCTTGTTTTAATTTGTGAAAGGATCTCATTCTGTAGCTCTGGCTGGCCTGAAAGTCTCACTGCCTCTGCCCCCCAGTGCTGGGATTGAAGGTGAGCACCATCAACCACACCTGCCTCTGCTGGAATTAAGGCTGATTTCTGTCCTGTAGTCAGGGACACATTACCTCATCCCCTGTTAAACACCTCTTCGTGCTGGATACCATTACTATCAACTGTGAAAGCTTGTTTTAACTTTTAGGAGGAAAATAGCTTTCATGCGTTCTTCAGAGCATTTAAAAGCCAGTCAGAGAGAGACATGTTTTAGCCTGTACAGTAATCATCAGTGCTTCTTCCATAGCACACCCTTTAGTCTCCGCTACCGAGTAGAGGACAGTGGGCAGTATAACCAAGTATATACACTTCCTTGTTTCTTAGTCTTCCAAATAAATTGAAATATTTTGGAAATGGGTACCAATCAAATAGACCATGAAGAAAGTCTCAATGGTCCTGTTATCACACTTGTAAATTCTGTTCTTTATTTTCATTGGGAAGGAAGTGCTTAAGTAAGAGGAATAATGTAATGTTTTTGTTGTTTTAAATTTCAATCAAATGATAATGACTTTTTTGGCATTCCTTTTCAGAGAGTTAGAAACCTAAGGAAAAATGCCATCTTTGATTTTAGGAAGACATGATAGGTGAAAAGATGTCTTGGAAATACTTAATTATCTATCTTAAACAAGATTAGAAACTGAAGTTGGATCATTGCATATATACTGTACCAAGTGACTCCCTAATTGGTGTTACATGTTTCAGGAATAGCAAAGAATGTTTGTTATTTTCAACTCAATCTAAAAAAGGCATATTGAATTTTCATAACAGATAATTCTAAGACCAGAGATGTTTCTTATTTCTTTACTTTTTTTTCCCTTGAGATGGGTCTCATAGCCTGGCCTGTCTGATCCTCCTGTGTCTGCCTTCTAAGTGCTAAGATTATAGACCTCACCCAGCTTGTGGTGGGATTTTTGGTTGCTTTAAGTTTGGAGTTTCTTCTGGTGTTTACAGAGTGCCAATTTTAGAATAGAGATATAGAGTCTATAAAATGACATGAACATAAATACATGATTGAGCATATAGCTAATTGGCAGTTACTTTTTTTTTGCTAGTTTTGGTCTGAATCTATCTATTCAGATGTTTTTGGATGGTGGATATGGTAGAATAAGCCTGGGTGGCTTCAATGTGTTGCTTCAATGTGTTCTTAGCAGTCAGTGTTGTTTGGTAGTTCTGTCTTGGGTTCTCGCCTTGTATCTTTAGATGTCCATCCATGTGATAACACACTTTAGTTCAGTTTATGGCTTCAGGATTCTAGAGTCTTTTCTGTAGCCATTTTCTGATCTCTCCTTTTTAAACTAGATGAAAAAGCATAGTTGCCTTTAAATTAAAAAAAAAAAAATAAGGTGTGGTGATGGTGCTTGGTGGAGGAGGCCCTTGCCTGGCATGACTGGGAGGCCCTGGGCTCTGCCGGCAGCGCTAGGAATGCAGGTCCCCGTTCTCTTCTTCTTTAGTTTTTCCACCTCTAATGTCTATGAAATCCTTTTTAATTTGACCTCAGAAGGAATCAGATACAATAGTTTTAGCTCAATGAGTTATTGTAAGAACATTCTACTTTTTTGTAAGTACCTACTACTTGCTATTTGTATCCTAATACTTTCATGATATTCTGTGACTTTCTGACAAATGTGTCTAGACTGTATAATTTAGATCTGGACTTGGAAGATGAAATGCTTTACTACTGTTAAAATTTTGTATCAAACACAATAAACCTTTCTTGAAATGTGTTTTGTACCTGGATAACTTTTAGCTGTTTGTTTCCTTTGCCAGTAAAGAGTTTCTGAACATGGCCTCTAGTGGTCACCATTTCAGCCATGTCTTCAGTTCATGACTAGGAATGTGCTCAAACATTGTTTTACCCCTGTGAAACTATATAGTGTCTACCTGACACTAATCTAAGCCTTATTTCACATTTTTAGAACAAACAGTAGGAAGATACAAAATATCCTTGAAGAAAGATATTTTCTGTGCCATATTGCCATTATTAAAGCAAACATGGGTATATGTGCTTGACATTTGGAATACTTAAGTGAACTGGTAAAAAGGGGTTTGAGTTTTCAATCAGATTTTGACTACCATATTTTCTCTTTAATAACAGGCAGTTATTGATGAAAAGGTATCAATAAATTGGAGTTATGGCATTTTGTACCTTCAAATTTTAACCTGAAAAGGCTGATTTGACAAGAATAAATCTCGGATTACAATGGCAGTACTAATGATTAGAGTTAGTGGAAAATTGTAAATATTCAGTGTTAGTAAAAACAAATCAAGTTAGTGAAATTAGGTTAAAGAAAATTGAAAAATAAAACTAATGAGTTACTCTATATAAAAAATAAGTGAGTTTAATTCTTTGACCAAGTTGATCAATCCAGAAAATAATTTCAATGAAAAGTCAACAATTTTGAATATGTTCTTAAATATAATTGAGATGAATTGGAATCTTGGTCTCTTTTAATATTCAGTTACTAATTCAAATTTGAAAATGAAGGATCATGATTTGAGGCAATCATGAGTTTCACAGTGTAACCCTGTCTCAAAAGCAAAACAAAAAAACCAACAACAAAACCAAGAGAAAGGTATGATGCCTTTGGTTGAAGTGAGTAAGTTTCTATGTGTAGTTTTGTTATTAAATGAATGCTTTGTAATTAACTATTACTTTGTATACCTCAGGTACGTTTCCATAAAGCCTGATAATCGGAAATTGGCCAATGGAACAAATGTCTTGGGCCTACTGGTCGACACTTTATTAAAGGAAGGCTTTCGTCTGGTCAGCACTAGAACACCGGCCTCTGGAGACAAAAGTGAATGCTATGTCTTTGAAAGGATAAAAAGCCCTCAAGTCCTTGGGTGAATAAAACACCCAAATCAGAAACTACCACGATGCCACCGCCATCTCAGAAATGACACTGTTCTTCTTTGGAAATTCCATATGGGGGCATGTATGTCACATTTGTACTCGGTCTAACTTTGGGTTCCCCAGCAGTGCCGAGAGCCACCCTGCCTGTTCTCTGAAAACAGCAATGCACTTTGTGCTTTGGCATTTGCTCCTTTCGCCAGGAACTCTCATAGCTAGTAGAAATGGGCTCTGGACTCGGACTGTGTCTAATCTCAGCTTAGTCATTTATTAGCTATGTAACATTTCTGTGTTTTAACTTTTATCTATTAACTAGGGACAAAAAAAGTATCTCCCCTCATAGGGTTATGAGGGTGGTGGTTAAGGGAGACAAAGTCCTCATTATGTTGCCTGGCATGTGGTAGGCATTCAGTAACTGTTATTAATGATAATGATCATGGGTCACTTGCTTTCAAACCCATCTTTTCTCCAGGGCCTTGTTCTCTCCCTTGCCTTTTGTTTCTCTGCAGTGTTAGTGCCTTAGGGTTTTATTGCTGTAAGGAGACTCCATGACCATGGCAACTCTTATAAAGGAAAACACGTAATTGGGACTGGCTTATAGTTTCAGAGGTTTAGTTCATTATCATCACAGTGGGAAGCATGGCAGTATCCAGATAGACAAGGTGCTGAAAGAGCCAAAGAATTGTACAACTTGATCCTTAGGCAACAGAAAGGAACTGTGCCACACTGAGCATAACTTGAGCATAGGAGACCTCAAAACCCGCCTCTATAGTGACATACTTCTTCCAACATTGCCACACCTAATAGTGCCACTCCCTATGGGCCAAGCATTCAAACACATGAGTCTATTGGGGGCCATACTTATTCTTTTTGTTTGTTTTTCGAGACAGGGTTTCTCTGTATAGCCCTGGCTGTCCTGGAACTCACTCTGTACACCAGGCTGGCCTCGAACTCAGAAATCCGCCTGCCTCTGCCTCCCAAGTGCTGGGATTAAAGGGGTGAGCCACCACTGCCCGGTGGCCATACTTATTCAAACCACCACAGTCAGTGATTGAACCCTCATGCATACAAAGTAAGGCCTCTATGACTATGATTGGACCCCTCAGCAGATGGTCCTTCTGTATAGACTTACATATCATCATAAGACCAGGTTTTTCTTCACTTACATATAAGTTTTATGAAAAGTTCTAATCCTTCTATACATACAGAATTGTGCTAAACTTATAAATCATACAGAAGCTACATTTGGTGAAAAGCTTTGGAACGATATTTAAAATACACATAACTTTCTCTTGTGTTTTGTATTAAACACTGGGATAAACACCTAAAAGAGAAAGTACTTCATCAAAAGGCTCCTAGTGCTTGCTTATAGTTGAGTGAAAAGCTGTTGGGTGTACACTCTTCAAAGTATGCAAGTCATTCAAGAACATATTTTAAATATTTTTCTTAGGTAGGGTTACTATGGCTGTGATGAAACACCATGACCAAAAGCAAATTGGGAGAAAAGAGTTTATTTGGCTTACACTTTTGTGGGGGTTCCTGCAAATACCAGGGCTGGTAGAGTAACCACCCATGTGAGGAGGATCCAGTTCAACATGATTTAGTGAGCCAAGCCCGTGTTGGTTCAAACTTGAGTCTGACACCAGGCAGTTTATTTTGGTCATATCTAAGTACAGTACAACATTGGAAAAAAGTTTCCTGGTGAATGTGGGCCTCAGCTCTTACTTCTCTGTGTAAGCTGAGTGGATTGCAGTCATTACGTTTGCTCCCTTGACAGCAGCACTTGGTTACCTGGCTTACAACAAGTTCTAAGTTAACGAATAAAAGTTCAAAGTTTAAGACACAAGTTTTAATGTACCAACAAAGCTCTGGTGAACCTTCAGGTCCAGAAAGATAACCCTAAAGGAGTGCATGCCTTCACCATAGAAGACTTGAGAGGTAACACCATGATTGGTGCTACTGGAGGCCAAAAGGTTCCTGTGTTGGGGCTCACATAAAATACAGTGAAGGGACTGGAGACAATATGGGACTTCTGAGCATCAAGAAAAAAATAAATGTAACGGACAGATTTGATGCTACCTTCCAGCATGCTGTGATGTTACCTGATCATTTAACTTGAATGTTGTCCGTTCTGTCTGATTGGTACGCCGACTGATTTCTAAATGTAGTACCTTGCAATTTACAGCTTTCCTATTCATGCTGTCAGCCTTGCTATTGAAACACTGTGGTGCAAATCTGGTGAAAGAAGCAGAGGGAGTGGGAGGGGAGAAAGGAGGAAAGGCTAAACCAACACAAAATAAGCATTGAAAAGGAGGAAGCCCTAGCACACACCCTTGATCCCAGGATGGGGGAGGCATTGCTCTGTGAATTCAAGGCCACCTGGTCTATAGAGTGCTATAGAGTGCGGTCCAGGACAACATGGAGAAACCCTGCCTTGGAAAAAAAGGGGGGGGGATTATGGGGGAGAGAAGCCATAATGCAAAGACTGCATGTGTATGCCCAAGATTGTGGCCAGTCTTGTGGCATAGCAAAAAGGCCTACTGTTTGATACTGACAGTATGGTCTTACTGCACCACCCTAACTATGAAAAACTTGGTGAAAACGTTCCTAAGAGTGGTTTACAAATTTGTGAAATCTAGATTGTGGGAAAGAAAGAGAAATCCCAACTTTTTTAAAGAGTACCTCAAAAAGTTATAAGAAGTAGAATAATTTTAGTAATGTTTAGGTCAGTGACTATAATATTGGTCCAAAAGCAAGAGATAGTCTAAGAATGAATTCTTGTTAGCATCCATCTTTTCATTTCTGTAGAACTGGCAACTTCCTTTTTTAAAAATCTTGCTGTCCTTAAATTTAACTTTGTAGACAACGCTGGCCTCAAACTTAGAAATCTACCTGCCTTTGAGTGCTACGATTAAAGGTGTGCACCACCACTGCCTGGCTGAAACTTATTTTAGTGTATTGTTTTAGTTTAGAGAAGGGTGCATTAGGTATACTTTTCTTACACTCTACAGGAAAGTATTCTTATTTTGGTAAATTTTTTGCAATATGTGTGATTTAACTAGTTGGATATAACATACATATAATGCTGTTTCTTTCTTTTTTTTTTTTTCGAGACAGGGTTTCTCTGTATAGCCCTAGTTGTCCTGGAACTCACTCTGTAGACCAGGCTGGCCTCGAACTCAGAAATCTGCCTGCCTCTGCCTCCCAAGTGCTGGGATTAAAGGTGTGCACCACCACTCCCCACACCATAATTCTTTATGGTGTTTGTTGATAAGACTATTAAAAACTGGTTAAGTAAGACTATTCTCAGTTTAGCAAGAACTAAAACATGAAAGGTTTAAGATGTTAATAACATGTTCTTAGTCATTCACATTTGCAGATGATAAAATTTTGAGTTTAGAAATAGAGTTTTCTTTTTAATGCTCATATTATGAATTGCGCTGGTAACTGTTGAGGGACAGGGATTTTTGTTCTGTACAGTAAGGTTCTCCAATGCTAAGAATATTACTTAGCACACAGTAGACATCAATAAATACTTATTGAACAAACGACTGTTATATATTTCCATGGATATATACCGAAGTATGGATATATACATATATGTATATATGTATATGTATATATGTATATATGTATATGTACAGATCAAGTTTCTATAACTCTGTAGACCAGGCTGGCCTGAAACTCAAGAGATTTACCTGCTTCTGGCTCCTGATTGCTAGGATTAAAGGTGTGTGCCACCACTTACCTGTAAATTGACTATAATTTAAAAATATGTATTCCTCATGAGAGAAAGTGTATTTTCAGAATGAGCAGAGTTCATTATTTTAGCACTTATCCCATCTGGAAACATCTGTCATCTCAGTCAGCTCCTTTGTTTCACTGTATTGAGTGGGAAAGTAACTGAGATATTGGCATGAGTCTTTCAGAAAAGGAGGCAGACATTTTCATATAGTCACCAATAGTCACCAATAAAATTTTCATGGAATTCACTTATTTTTTAAATATTTATGTGCATTTAGTGTCCAAGGAGGCAAGAAGATGGTGTTGAATTCCCTGGAAATTGAAGTCACAGGTCATTGTGAATCACCTGAGATGGTGTTCTGGGAACTAAACTTGGGTCCCCTGGAAATATAGTAAGTTCTTTTCACTAGTGAGCCATTTCCAAGAGAATAATGACCAAAAAAGTCTATCTTGTTCAGTGTCTCAGGGTTTCTATTGCTTCAGGGAAACACCAGGACCAACCAAAAACCAAGTTGGGGAAAGAGTGAGTTTACTTAGCTTATACTTCCACATTGTTGTTCATCACTAAAGCAAGTCTGGACTGGAACTCAAGCAGGAGGTAGGAGCTCCTGGAGGAGCTGATGGAGAGGTGAATGGAGGAGAGCTGCTGACTGGCATGCTCCTCATAGCTTATTCAGTTTGCTTTCTTACAAAACAGAACCCAAGACCCCAGACCAGCGATGGCCCACACACAAGGGGCTGAGCCCTCCCCCACTGATTACTGAGAAAATGCCTTTCAGCTGGATCTCATGGAGGCATTTCCTCAAGGTTCCTTTCTGATGATTCTAGTTTGTGCCAAGCTGACTCAGAACCTGCCCAGTACATCCAGCAGCACTGAAAACCTTGACAGAACAAGTCCCAAATACTATCACGTCATCTAGCAAGTAATCATTATAATGGCATGTTAAGCTTTGTAGTCCTAATGGAACCATTAATAGTTGGGCCTCTTGTATTTTCTCACTTAGGTTTGTTCAAGTTTCTTTCCAACACTGTTTTATTTCAGACTAGGCATGGAAGATTTTAGCTTCTGACTCTTCTTGAACCTCAGTGACTTATAAAATTAATTAGAAATTCTACAGCCGGGCGGTGGTGGCACATGCCTTTAATCCCAGCACTGGTCTACAGAGTGAGTTCCAGGACAGCCAGGGCTACAGACAAACCCTGTCTCGAAAAACAAACAAACAAACAAACAAACAAACAAACAAACAAAAAACTGTTAGAAATTCTTCCTGTAAGAGTTTTCTGAAGGGTGCTCCTAAAACTTAAC